ATCTCTCAGCAAAATCTGTTATTACCATTGATAAAACAAAGAATTTTTGATCAAGGCATACAATCCCTAAGGGCCACAGTGGAAAACTCTCCAAAATGTTTATTGTATAAACATATAATAGATTTTGGAGAAACATTACAATTTTACCTCACAAAATATATACCAAAGAAATATCGCATTTGTTTAACTCGAATACGTACATCTACCCATTCTTTAGCTATAGAAGTTGGAAGGTATAATAATATACCTAGAGAACGTAGATATTGTAAACAGTGTAACTCCCCCTCTGAATTAGAGGACGAATTTCATTTTTTATTGGTCTGTTCTAAATTCCAAAATCTCAGATCTCGTTTTATCAAAAGCTATTATTGGAAAAAACCATCTGTGTTTAAAGTCGTCCAGTTATTGAGTGTCCATAATATTAAAGAATTGTGTATACTAGGAAAATTCATATATGAGGCAAACAAATTAAGGGTATTATAATGGAATATGATTGTTTTCATCCTCTGTACATTGTCCATGATTTGTTTAAAAAATGTTTTGTATACTGATGGGCCAATGGCCCAAAGTTTGAATAAAACTTGAAACTTGAAACTTACATTGGCGCCCACGTAGGGACCCGGGAAAAATACTCGGCCTTGCTCCACAAGCATCGCAGTTACCCCTGGAAAACTCGAGGACGAGTTCTTTCCTGGAAGGGGAGTATGAAACCCTGGTAAATACTAGCCGCAATATATAGCTCGGCTATAGAGAACCTCTCTTTAGCTCGATCGGTTGGGCGTAAGACTAGTAAGCCAGAGGTCCCGAGTTCGATCCCATGCGGAGGTAGTGATTTATAATTTAATTAATCATGCGCTCTGTTACATAGGTATCATAAGTAATATCGACATAAATGTATATATATAATTTAGTCCGATTCTCCCCCGATCATGTAATTGCAATCCTTTTATCAAATATATCTTATACCCGATAATGATACTTAAATGTATCTAATATATATATTCATTAATGTATATAATTATTAATAGATTGCTGCCCGTTCCTGTCCGTTTCTGCCCGTTTCTGCCCGTTCCTGCCGTTTCTGCCCGTTCCTGCCCGTTCCTGTAAATCGTCGAACCCGGTCCACTACACATCCCTGGCTGAACATCGCCTATATTACTGGAACATAAAACCTTTTTACTTATATTTTGCTAGCCGAAAGGTAATTTATGTCAGCAATGTACAGGGATCGTTGATTTTGGGTAATAAAGCTCGCCCACTAACGGTAATGGGTTTGCTTTGAAATCATTTATGGACATTCTGTAGCTAATTCAGTCTTTGGATATATTCAAAAGCATCTCATGAGAACGCTGGATAAAATCTTATCTCGTGAATAAGCATTTGTTATCTACGTCCTATGCGTTCTCTGTGCCGTGTGAAATAGCAATATTAACGGTCGAGGTATTACAGATTCACGATAGATTACAGCTATATATGTATATTTGATTGAAAGTACAAACATTGTTAGTTAACTAAACACACAGGCCGGACCTGGTACAACTTTATAATCTTTCCATTGTCACATGTAAAATACATTATTCGCTCACTTAAAAATCGATAAAAACATTTTTTTAAACTTTTATGGGGACAAATAATACGTACCTCTGATGAAAATAATAGCAACCTGTGATCAAATAGTCTATTGTTTCATTGTATATACTATGTACCTCAATAAATCATTGGGTTTTCCTGTGGATATAACGGAAATTCTATGATTTGTAAACATTACATTCATGTTTACCGTGTAAAATCAAATACTGTTGATAGCCGTAAAGTCTCACTGTATTGCGTTCGATTGTCGGGTTGTAAACTTTTATTCTTAAAAATCCCAGCCGTTTACAGCATATGTTTTGACAGGTGGTTGTATATTCTACCTGCGCGTTAACCGGTCCCAGCATGTTGTCGAACCTACGTACGATTTAATTTGAAGTCAATGACATCAAGTCAGGCGTGTCGCCTTAACCTCACCAGGATGTCATGTTAGAATGAGACAGTAGGTACTGTCGGTCACCGTTTAACGTGAGGAGATCATCAACAAGATGATGTCCAAAACAGCACTGTATCTGGTGCTATTGGGACTACTTTACCATGAAACAGACTGCCAATGTAAGTCATATGTTTATTATAGCCACTGTAGTTATTGAAATGGCTCGGACTGTAACGACGCACTTCATACAGACAACCATCTATCATTCCCTGTAGACTACACACATAATTATAGGTCTATAAATTAACAAGGGCTAGGTTAAGCGAATAAATACAGTAGTGTCGTAACAAAATAATGCCGTAGATGGAGTTTACTTTGGTGTTATTACAATTATTATCCCTATGATTGTATAAATTACAAATACAATGTATAGATTGTCAAGTAATACATGTTACAGTAATGACTGACTATACAATATATTTTTGTATTGTTTTACTTATATTCAAGGGTTAAATATAGTCTGATCGATTACTAAGTACGTGTATTTAATTATTTCGATAACATTTGTGTCTATTTATGTGAAACATATGACATGCATGTGTCTAGATCTACATTAGAACACAATACACTGTTTATTGACTGTAAATTATATAATATCTGATAGTATATACTACCATCATTGTGTAGTGTATGTAAGTATATACTACCATCATTGTGTAGTGTATGTAAGTATATACTACCATCATTGTGTAGTGTATGTAAGTATATACTACCATCATTGTGTAGTGTATGTAAGTATATACTACCATCATTGTGTAGTGTATGTAAGTATATACTACCATCATTGTGTAGTGTATGTAAGTATATACTACCATCATTGTGTAGTGTATGTAAGTATATACTACCATCATTGTGTAGTGTATGTAAGTATATACTACCATCATTGTGTAGTGTATGTAAGTATATACTACCATCATTGTGTAGTGTATGTAAGTATATACTACCATCATTGTGTAGTGTATGTAAGTATATACTACCATCATTGTGTAGTGTATGTAAGTATATACTACCATCATTGTGTAGTGTATGTAAGTATATACTACCATCATTGTGTAGTGTATGTAAGTATATACTACCATCATTGTGTAGTGTATGTAAGTATATACTATCATCATTGTGTAGTGTATGTAAGTATGTAGGTATATACAACTATCATTGTGTGGTGTATGTAAGTATATACTACCATCATTGTGTAGTGTATGTAAGTATAAACTTCAAAATCATTGTGTGGTGTATGTAAATATTGTGTAGTATGTAAGTATTTACAACCTAAAAGTCGTCTGCTTAATGACATCTTTATGCAACATGCTTTAATAAGACACACAAACCTGTACAGTTGTATATCTACCCGGCTTAACATTTTTTTTTGTACACACGGCTTAACCTAAACAAAACAACCAAAGTACACGGTATACATATATAGCTATCAAACATCCTGGTTTATTGACATGTGTGTTTATTGTTGACCTGGTAGCCTGTTCACTTTCTCTAAACACTGTCTTCCTTGTTGTTGTTGTTGTTCACAATCCTTCACACGGTTTTGTTTATCGTTGACTTGGTAGCCTGCTCGTTTCCCTAAACACTGCCCTATGAGTGTTATTATTTACATTTCCTTCACACTGTCTGAGGAGTGTTGTTATTCACATTTCCTTCACACTGCCCTAGGAGTGTTGTTATTTACATTTCCTCCACACTGCCTTAAGAGTGTTAATATTTACATTTCCTTCACACTGTCTGAGGAGTGTTGTTATTCACATTTTCTTCACACTGTCTTAGGAGTGATAATATTTACATTTCCTTCACACTGTCTGAGGAGTGTTGTTATTCACATTTTCTTCACACTGTCTTAGGAGTGATAATATTTACATTTCCTTCACACTGCCCTATGAGTTTTATTATTTACATTTCCTTCATACTGTCTAAGGAGTGTTATTATTCACATTTCCTTCACACTATCTAAGGGGGCTGTTATTTATATTTCATTCACCCTGTCTAAGGGTGCTGTTATTTATATTTCCTTCAGTGTTGTTATTCACATTTCCTTCACACTGCCTTAGGAGTGTTGTTATTTCCATTTCCTTCACACTGTCTGAGGAGTGTTGTTATTCACATTTTCTTCACACTGTCTTAGGAGTGTTGTTATTCACATTTCCTTCACACTGCCCTAGGAGTGTTGTTATTTACATTTCCTTCACACTGTCTGAGGAGTGTTGTTATTCACATTTTCTTCACACTGTCTTAGGAGTGATAATATTTACATTTCCTTCACACTGCCCTATGAGTGTTATTATTTCCATTTCCTTCATACTGTCTAAGGAGTGTTGTTATTCACATTTCCTTCACACTGCACTAGGAGTGTTAATATTTACATTTCCTTCACACTGCCCTATGAGTTTTATTATTTACATTTCCTTCATACTGTCTAAGGAGTGTTGTTATTCACATTTCCTTCACACTGCACTAGGAGTGTTAATATTTACATTTCCTTCACACTGCCTTAGGAGTGTTGTTATTTCCATTTCCTTCACACTGTCTGAGGAGTGTTGTTATTCACATTTTCTTCACACTGTCTTAGGAGTGATAATATTTACATTTCCTTCACACTGCCCTATGAGTGTTATTATTTACATTTCCTTCACACTGTCTAAGGAGTGTTGTTATTCACATTTCCTTCACACTGCACTAGGAGTGTTAATATTTACATTTCCTTCACACTGCCTTAGGAGTGTTGTTATTTCCATTTCCTTCACACTGTCTGAGGAGTGTTGTTATTCACATTTCCTTCACACTGCACTAGGAGTGTTAATATTTACATTTCCTTCACACTGACTTAGGAGTGTTAATATTTACATTTCCTTCACACTGCCCTATGAGTGTTATTATTTACATTTCCTTCACACTGTCTGAGGAGTGTTGTTATTCACATTTTCTTCACACTGTCTTAGGAGTGTTGTTATTCACATTTCCTTCACACTATCTAAGGGTGCTGTTATTTATATTTCATTCACACTGTCTAAGGGTGCTGTTATTTATATTTCCTTCACACTGTCTAAGGGTGTTATTATTCACATTTCCTTCACACTATCTAAGGGTGCTGTTATTTATATTTCCTTCACACTATCTAAGGATGCTGTTATTTATATTTCCTTCACACTATCTAAGGGTGCTGTTATTTATATTTCCTTCACACTGTCTAAGGGTGCTGTTATTCACATTTCCTTCACACTATCTAAGGGTTCTGTTATTTATATTTCCTTCACACTGTCTAAGGGTGTTATTATTTACGTTTCCTTCACAATGTTTTGTTTATTGTTGATCAAACTCCCTATTCTCTCATTTATGTGTTATTCGGTAGTCTGTTCGACTGGACAAATTCTGGACAAACCTTGTTCATACTTTATACACAAACAGCTTATGAGTTGACAGATGCATACTTTTGTATTTCCAAACCGATGAAATCTTATTGAAGAAATTAGTTCAGTTTCTTGGCATTCTGTGTTTAACTACCTATACAATTAACTGACGTACTATATTCAACTAAATAATTGCTAAACATATTGTTTTCAAGTAGACAATGATTGAACAGACTGTATTCAACTAGACAGCTATTGGACAATTAGCTTCTTTTTCTTGGCATTATGTGTTCAATTACAAGTTACTGGACCTGCTGTCTTCAGCTAAACAGTAACTGGATATACTCTGTTCAATTAGATAACTAGCTTATTTACCGGACATACTGAGTTAAACTAGCTAAGTAGCTTATTGTAAAGGATCTGTTTCCATGGCATTTCTCTACCTAATCATATAACTTTAATCTGTGTAGTGATATCGCTCATATGTGACAATATCCTCTGCATCAAACATTCAATATCGTCGTTTGCTATTGATATACTCTTCGTCTTTTACTGTTGGTCGGTCATCGGGATGCCAAGTGAGAGAAACTGACACAGATAGCCTCCTGATAAGGACACACATTGATACCATACAGCCATAACATTAAATGCAATCGAGATTCGGTAAACTGAAAATACATAGCAGGTACTTCAGATAGGTATAAAATTAAATGTGCGGACATGCTACGAGCGTGGAACGAGGTAACGGCAACATGTGAGGCCGTTCGTTCTAGGTGTATGGGCACACGGATATGGACGTCTCGACCCACCGCCTATATCCGGCACGACTAATAAATAAATAATTGTTGATTTAAAGCAAGTTGTTTGAAACGGGCTTTTATATTAGTTGATGACGTTTCTAAGTCATCCAACTGTAAAACCATCTCATTTAAAATGACGTCAACATTTATTCGATACATGTTTATTTAGATGGCGATAGTAAAACTGTTATTTTATTAGGTCACCTGAGCTTTGCTCAAGTGACCTATTCTAATCGCTTTTCGTCCGTCGTCGTCCGTCGTGCGTAAACTTTTACATTTTCAACTTCTTCTCAAGAACCAGTGGATGGATTTTTTTCAAACTTGGTCAGAATCATCCTTGGTAGATGAGGCTTCAAAATTGTAAAATTGGGATTCCTACCCCAACCCCTGGGGCCAGGGCGGGGCCCCAAAGGGAAAATTA